GTATCGCGAAGCCTCATTGGGATCCAAATATCATATAAAAATATAGAATTTTTTGAAAAAGTATTTTGAATACTCGAAAAGGTTCAAACTAGATTTAAAGATTGGGTTGAAAAATATAAAATTACAAAAAAAATTATCATTTGATTATTTCATAAAACAAAAATGCCAAAGAAGTAGAACTTGTCAAGATTTCATATTGCTAACCTGTTTCTGCGTACTTCGTAGTTCGGTTCAATACAATACAAAGGACTCGAACCCCGATCCCGTGCACTGTCCAGATCCCGAATGAAGCGATGTTTCCGTCTCTCCCAAAGTGGACATTAGCAAGGAACCGAAATCGAGAGGACGGGGTGGGCATCGAAAGTTTGAACGCTTCTTATAATCAAAATACACGACGGATGGCCGTCCAAATGCCTTAGTCTGGCCTCTGCTTGTCGCCAATTGAGTCTGATTCAAGAGTATACGTGGTTTCAAAAAGGTCGGTATCTCGCGAACTTTTTTATACTCTTGTCCGATGTCATGCGTGCTATTAAGCCTGTAATTATTACCCCAATTCGCGGTAGATAAGCCCGCGCCGATATCACGTAAAAACACCTCCGCTGGTGCAGTGCACTTGCGTACATCTAGAGACAACCGTAACATGCCCATAGGGGTAATCGATATGCTGATTACGAAAACGACATTCGTTTTTAGCGGTGGCGCCATCTGGCGCCAGTTGGCGTCACCTTGTCACGACCCTTGTTTTCACCAAAATCGGTGTAAACTTCTGTATAGGGGTTATTTGGTGCCCTGATTACGAATATGACATTCGTTTTTGGCATTAACGTTGTTCAACGCATATTTCTCGGTTGGAGAGCGCAGACGAGCAGAAAATAGGCGCCAAATAGCGCCAGCGCCAATGTCATATTCGTAATCAGGACACCAAATAACCCCTATACGGAAGTTTACACCAAATTTGGTGAAAACAGGTGTCGTGACAAGGTGACGCCAACTGGCGCCAGATGGCGCCACCGCTAAAATGAAAGTCATTTTCGTAATCAGGGCATCGAATTACCTCTATAGGCAAATTTACGGTAGTTTCTAAGGTGTACAAAATTACACTGCACGAGCGGAGGTGTTTTTACGTGAAATCGGCGCGGGCTTATCTACCGGAAATTAGGGTAAAAGTTTCCCACAGAAAAGCACGATGTTTAGTCAACGCCTCATCAGAATATTCATTCCACAATGATTGGTAATTGCCGGCGCACACGGTCGTTTTTCTACTGCTTTCCTTATCTTCCTTTCGTGACCTTGCACTTTTCCTCGTGCACAGCCTTTGCAGAAAGAGAGTCTATCTCATACATGACACATTTTATCTTGTACACATCCTGTTCTGCACAAAATATTGTACACTTCGCAACCAGGGGCGGAAGTGGTGTAGTGGCAAGTGGCACGCTTACCACGCGAGCGGTCCGGGGATCAAATCCTGGGTCGTGAGTCGCCCGGGCCAACCAAGCCTTCCATCCCTCCGGGGTCGGTTAATTGGTACCAGACTTGTCTGGGAGGATAAAAACACTGACTTGTACATCGGCTGGCCCCCGCAAGTCATTGTATAGGCCACATCGCATTCAAACGCCACTACGAATGTACAAATGGAAGTAGAATGCGTGCCGCATCCCAAAAAGGGATTGATCGCAACAGCAATTTCTTTTGCCGAAAACATTCGTTGGCGCGGCCATAATGATGGCAGAGCGGTGGAAGAGCAGGGTAATGAAGGAAGTTTTGTGGTTCTTCTTGACGTACAGTCGATATTCAAAAGTTGTGGGTAGTGTGTCACTGGAAGTGACGTGCACTTGACAGAAGTTGCACGGATAAGCTGTTGCCAGCATGCGCTGCTCGATGTCCGCGATATCAGTATTGGTGAGCTCTATACTAGCTTCTATCACGTGCGATCGGTCACCTCCCTTGACACGCCTACCCCAACTCTCAGATATCGAATATTTGCATGGAAACTTGCGATGAAAGCGAAAATAGGAAATAGAGATGGTGAAGGTTGTCTTCACCGTTGATCAGATTGAGGCGGATTTTACGATGGAACGACCGGAAAGGAAACTTGTTGGAAATAAGGGTAGGGGTGGTTAGTGGAGCACGGATGAAGGAAAAACCATGAGAAACAGCCCGGGGCCCAAGAAATTAGACCACTGCCTTGCCCGGAGATTTTCGTATCAATGCAACTCTCGAGTCCTCTCCAACTTTGGTGGGCGTTCCGCGCCAACTGCGCTGAAGAAAGGTCATGTTAGATCGCCGGGGGCATATCCTTAGATGAGAATGGATGTGTGTTGTGATTGTGATGTGGCGATGTGTGTTGGGGAGCGCTCTTGAGGGCCTGTCTCTCCACTAGATGAGATTCCCCTTCTTCGACCCTTGCTCCTATCGCGAAATCCTCCTTCGAAAGCACATTGCGCGATTGCGAGAACCGTTGAAATGCTCACGCGAAATTATGAAGTCCTCAATAGGTCACTCACTTTAAAACCAGATTTTATTAGAAGCGCCAAGGCCCAACGATGCACCTTAGACGAACTCCTCATTCCCCGTGTTCGACTAGGTGTTATCATTCGTTGGCGACAAAAGGAGCTGTAGTGAACACTAATTCCATACTGCAAATTTCCAATTAAAATTTTAGCACATTTGAAGACCTTGGGCGATTTTGGGTTGAAGTCAGAACATAGCGCATCTCTCACGGATAATTGCATTGTAAGATTTTCTAAATCTTCCGATGTGCAATTTGCTGGAAGTGAGTGGTGGAAGGTGTTTGTAAAATGTTTATTGAAAAATCGCTCTTCCATGCTAACATTAACAAAGGCCACACGTTTTGGCACAGAACTGTTCCGCAATTTTGGCGAAGCCCGGACTGTTGCATTGGCCGGCGTTCTTTGGGCCGAGGCAGAACATTTCTCCTCCTTGATCCTCACATGGCTGAAAGGAAAACACGGAATTGGAGGGGAACCAATTCCTTAAAGCTCATGCCTTGGGCTGCAATCCAGTTCGTATACCGTAACGTACCGCATTCGGGTTGCGCCTCAGTCGTGAAGGCGTTCAGCAAGAATAGTGCGCAGACAATGTAGAAGAACATGTCGTAGCCCAGTGAACTGATGAGGCTGAGTGGTATCCGTCCCAATTTATACCAACAAAGTTATGAGAACGATGTCATTGTTGCCTTACACTTTGCAGCTGTTTGTATGTGGGCGAATATCTACGCAAACAATGAATGAAGTTGTGGCAGTGGTACGATAACACCCTTTGCATGTTCGTAGATTTGGTGCAGATATTGCAAAGTTGTCTGGTCCTATGAATAACAGGGTCTTTGAACGAAAAAATAGCGCTTGCTCTGGTCTCAGGTTAAAATTTTGTAAAGAAAAGAACTAGATGTGTGGAGCATCTGATTCTCAGGTTGGCGTTGAAGTCCAGCCTAATATCATGTACATCAATCTGAAAAGGCAATATCGTTCAAAGATGATTCCTGGAAAGCGATTTTTTTGAAAGTCAGAACCAAAATGATCAGCGCAACAAATAAAAGTGCAATCAACTACTTCCCCCTTCACCTTGAACTAAATTAGCCTTTCTGAACTCACCTAATGATTGAAATCCATACAGATAACCTCTGGGTATGATTTGAGAGGGAGACGTTCGCTATAATTATAACCTCAGAGACTTTCTTGGAACGAGTGGTTAAAAAACTGACTATACCGAAAGTTTTTAGTTGATTCTTGTAGAGCTCGAGGAGCTCAGTTCAACGGTGTAATTTTTCTACAGAAAATTCAAGAACTAAGCAGCAAAAACGAAAAAATGCGGATTGTTTTCTTCGCCGGAAGTCTAAATTGAATCTCGGCTACATGATTATTTCGCTTTTCTCGCTATCCACTGTTCTACCAATAAATCAACAGTTATTCTTGATCGCTCATTGTTGCAGGAAAAAAGCCCTAATAATCGTTAGCAGATTTGAAATTTGGAGCTTCCAAGTCGAACGTTGGAAGAGGTCATCCATTCAATGCGCTTGGAGGACAGTTTGAAAAAAGTCACAAAATTCTGAGTGTCGGGTCAAATGTGAACCTTCTTATGGCTCAGCCAGAATAGAGGAATGGGAGTGATTATTTGAGACATTCCTCTTTTCTGAGATAACGGATGGTAAATATTGTTTAGTGGCGTCCGAATGTAAATGCCTCCATATGACATGAGCTTCCAGCCATAATCAGAATCGACATCATGGGAAATTAGTTGCTAATCCTGATCATGACTCATCATGCTGATTTCACTCCGATATTCTTTTTGCTTTGCAAGCAGCTACCAGGCTTCGCCAAGACGCTACTCAGTTTCTGAATAAAAGTTCGTTTTGACGGCAACTCAAAGGCGGTGATAGGTGCATCGATCCATTCTCAGCTACCACGTACACTCTCTTGAAAGCAGGATTTTGGGGTCAAAATTCGTGTCGCTCCTTTTTCCTTATATTGAGAAACCCTTTCGGACCTGAATTTTTTCCCGTGGAGAAATTTTTCTCTAGCTATTGTTTATTACTTGTGAGCACATAGGTACCATTATAGCGAAATTTGGAAGCTATTCGATCACAAACTAAAGAAACTAAGAAGCTTTGAAAATTGGCCCACTCCTTAATTTTTTTGAGCTTCAATCCTAACAGTCCAAATCATATTATTGCCGAAAAATATTATAATTTGCAACAAACATTATAGCCCATAATTTTGATAAGGAATGGATCTACTTCAAGTATTTTAGGAAAAAGTGACACTTACTTGGCAGGTTGCGGGGACCAGCGTCGATTCATTGTTGCACTTGTACACAAATACTTGTAATACTAACAGCAACACACAATGAAATGGCAGGTTTAGCTCATAATTAGGAAGGGGAAGGTTGACTGAAGCAACCTCTAGCAGGATTAGAAAAACCATGCTGTTTCAGCGGCAATGCAAGCGTTTGAATTTGGTGGTGGCAATTGCCACCGCCAGGGCCGAAAGGGTTAAAAATATTTTCATTATCCACGTCCTTCGATAGAACGACACCACCAGAAGTCATTTTGAAGAATCTTTTCAGTAATTCGACCAGAAAGCTCTCACACGGTACTGTTGCCGCGTTTTTGCGCAGAGCGCCTAATAGCCTTTATCGAAGTGAGTTTATGGTGACTAACAACTTAATCGGTGGACGAATACCTCTACTATCCCAGATATGCAGCGTTGTACAGCGTAGCGGCCGCATTCAATATATGTGCTAGTCAGTGGCCTTGAGCAGCAAGTTCAAAAACACTGTCCAACACGCCCTCCTCTTTCAAGAAGGAAGAGACCCTTGCTTTGGGATCTTCAACGATGGTGCTTTTCCATTTTTGCTCAACGCGACATTAACAACTCCATTATCGACTACTGTGATCCTACAACTTGATAAGGTAAATGTCACAGTCAACAGAGTGGCGTCTAACAGTAAGGGCGGCTGCAACTCGGCTACGTATACTTATTAAACATCGTTGGGAAACGGTGGATGGTACCGGTTTTTTGAGAAGAGTAGTGAATCCTTTGGCTCGAATGTAGCCTGGCAAGATCTTACGACTATTTGTGTTCACGGTGGCTCTGAGGACGCAGTGGCCTGCGCAGACTTCTTTGATATAATATTCCATTAGATGAGACAGGCCAGTTCCACCAATAATTTTGCTAATGAAATCGTTAACACCATTGAACAATATAGAACAATGTTTGCGAAGATGTTAGCCCACACACTTCGTTGTGAAACACCTGCAAAGGGTAAAGCACTAATGATATCGTTCTCATTTCCTTGTTGTTATAAATTGGGCCTGGTTCCACTCAGTGTCATCACTTCACTGAATTTCGATATGTTCTTCCACATTTTCTGTGCTCTATTCCTGCTGAACGCCTTTACCACTGAGGGGCAATCCGAAACCGTACGTTACGGTATACGACCGGGATTGCAGCCCAAGGCATGAGCTTCCAATGGAGACTATCTTTATCCAAACTCGTCTTTTTCAGCCATGTGAGGATCAAGGAGGAGAAGTTCTGCCTCGGCCCAAAGAACTCCGGCTAATGTAACAGTCCGGGCTTCGCCAAAATTGCAGAACAGTTCTGTGCCATGACGTGTGGTCTTTGTTAATGTCAGCACGAAAAGCGATTTTTCAATAGACATCTGACAAACACCTTCCACCACTCACTTCCAGCAAAATTGCACACTGAAAGATTTAGAAAATTACGGCACATCATCGCCACTTCGTGATATGATGTCCCCCCAACATCAACTTGACATGCGTCAAGGTTGCAACTTCCACCCATATCTGTCGAGGTCTTTAAATGTGGAGGGATGTGGTTTAGAAAAAGGCCGTATGACATTACGACTACGACGGCTATCCCATCTCAGACGCAAAACTCTGAATTTTAAAGCCACGAGTCAGGATTAGGTGACCATAGAAGGCCTTTCCATCACTAATATTTCCAGGAATGCGCTCAGAGGGGTGATGCCACTCCTGACTCGAGATTGCGCGCCGTCAAGGCCTCTGGCCTACTACTTACAGCGATGGGTTCGTTACATCAGCTGGTCCCGCCCACCGCGGGATGTGGTGCGTGGCTGGCCTAACGTGTGAGATCAGCTAGGTTGATTGCCGTATCAACCGATGGAACGGCTGGCATATCCGGAAAACTCGTTTGGACGTGGCTCTCCCCCGAGCAAGCCTCCTTCACTGCTAGAAGGGAAGGGGTTTCGATTTCGGTCTTGTCGACGGTTTCTTTGCGTTTTTTCTTCACTGTCGTTCCACCTCCCATCTCTACACTCAATTTCAGGCGCCATAATGCCCAAACACGAGCCTGACTTTTGCCTTTAAGAAATTTGACGGCCGCGTTATTAATTCGTAACTTGCACGCAGTAGAAATTGGAACACATTACATCCAGGAACTCTGTGTACTCGTCTGAACTCCCATAAAAATGCGAGAACCAATATCCGACCACGCTGTGTTATGGATTTAGTGACACACACAGACAGAATTAGTACTTTGAAGCAACAGTCCAGCATTTCACAAGAATGCTGGGTTGTGAACAAAACTTTCGCCCCAGGCGGGACTAGAACCCGCACCTCTCGCTTTCCGGGCAAGTGCGCTACCAGTTACGCTACCGGGGCACCATTTCATCCCAACTCAGCTTTTCATGGTATACGTACCATAGCTTTCAGCACTCACACGTATAACGTGTTGAGCCGGTTAGCCGATATCGGCAATGACCGCGAGGCTGAAAGCTTTAGCAATGAATTTTGACTTGTTTTTTTGTTAACTGCTGTTTTAACGCCGCAGTTCGCGTTGCGAATGTTTCACAAGAATGCTGGGTTGTGAACAAAACTTTCGCCCCAGGCGGGACTAGAACCCGCACCTCTCGCTTTCCGGGCAAGTGCGCTACCAGTTACGCTACCGGGGCACCATTTCATTCCCAACTCAGCTTTTCATGGTAAACGTACAATAACAAGTCCCACAGTGCCGCTAAGCCCTAGCTCTTCCTAAGGTGAGTTTTTTGTTCAGTTACACTTCTTATGTTCTTGACTAGGCTAGCGCATCTTCCACACCTTAGTGTCGAAGGTAAAAACCCGCTGTGACTGTTGCTTCAAACATATTAGCCTGTTGCAATATGGATGTCGCTCGTTTTCATTCTTCTCCCTCCAAACTTCTTCGGCATATTTGGCGATAGCGCACTAGCGAGAGAGGAAATCTCGCCATAGCAAGTTATGCTCATTTATGTTGAGGCCGTTATTCTTCATCAAACAAAAAAGTCGAGTGCAAGGGGGTGCGCTCGACGACTTCAAACTAGGGAGAACAGCCGCTGAATGTCATCGCAGCTTGTGCCCACAGCCTTTGCAGGAACGTAGCATCCAAGTTGTTCCAGCAATTGTAACGCTCTCCAGAGCCAAGTACGCTTAGGCTGCTTTCATAACTGTGGACCATACGGACCACGCGAAGGGAGTAAAAAGCGTCAGCACGCGCACTGGCGCACGATGCGTACTTGGCGCGCAGTCGGCGACTTCCGATCGATTGATTCGGTTTCATTACTTTCGCCTTTTTTTTTTCAGGTGTTCCACGTGCCGTT